ATATTGAATGGAATTCGTTATTTGGAAGATTATATTTTGAAGAACTTGTCTGCCTTGAAAGAATGGCACCCAAAATTTTATCTTGGATTCGAATGTCAACCGATGAGAAACATGCAACTGTTTCAACTGCTAATCAGGTCTTTGACTAATGTAATGAATTAAAATATATTTAATATGTTTATTTGAAGTTATCGCCAGTTTTTCGATGTAATTTGTAGTAATTAAATTTTCATTGTGCATTCAAAATATCTATGAAGCAAATTTTACATCTGCACATTTTGTATGGACATGTTCCCAGTTGTACATTAATTATTAATATAAAAATATATTACCTTGAACACTTTTTACAGTTTGTAAATATTATATGGATTATTTATAGAATGTTATTTATAGAAATAGTCGATAACAATTGAATTGGTTGCAGTTATATTATGAAAAATAAAAGCTAATTGTTTGTTTTATTATAAAATCGAATAAAATACAATAGAAAATAAACACTACTTTTCTTATTAATTATTCCCCCAATAAAAATTTGATGAGGCAATCAGAATTGAGGTTTACTGAATGAGATTATTGTACGGACGTAAGAGGCGGAGGTAATAAGTGCAGATTATGATGGTATATAGAAAAGATAACAGTTGACTCTAGGCTCGAAGAAGTTAAGATTTTAGGGATCAGGGAAGCATCCTCTCGGGAGTTTATTCCACAATGTACAGTTCTGAAATGAAGGAGTTTAACGAAATGAAGTGGCTGTCTTCACGGTACAGAAAATAGAATCAGTGGACCGAGTCTAAATTCTGTCTGAAATCGATCGTGTCCACTTCGTGGGAAAATATGAAAGTAAATAGTACAGTAGACTGGGCTCTTCAGCCCTGCTTGGCAACCAATTTGAATTCTAAACAAAGAGTAGAATCCATTTCTTCCGTAGCTATTGGGAAAAATCAAAATAAATAAATAAAACAAAAGAAACGTAGGCGGGAAATTCAATCTTACACCATAAAAATCTAAATGCTTTAGGATAGGAATTGTGTTTTATAACTTGGAGGATCATATATTTTAATATAATCATATTAAAATACGATATATTTTTACTAGAGAAGTACTGAATGAGGTTGTTGTATGAGCATAGGAGGAGGAGGAGGAGTTAAGTGCAGATTATGAGAATATATAGGATAGATATCGATTAACCCGAGGCACAAAGAAGTTAAGATTGTAGCATCTGGGGAGGCATAGGAAGTGGTACAATGACAATGATTTTTACTAAATTTTACAAGGCCCAAGAACCACTCAAGCTTACTGACTGAGGTTGTTGTAAAAGAAGGAAGCAAGTGCAGATTATGAGGATATGTAGGATAAATAACAATTAACCCTAGACTTGAAGAAGTTAGCATTTTAGTGACCAGAGAAGCCTCTCAGCACACTGTTGCACTAAATAGCGGTTTTTTGTATCAAAATGTCCGTATGGAACTTCTTCCTTACTAATGGAATACAAAGGGAATGTGAGCGATTCGTTGCATCATATGTAGCATGACGGGTCTTAGCTGTGAAAACCTGATGTGGTGGAACGAATGAATGTACTTCGTCTTATGCCATGGAAATATCGATAGAATCGTGAACTTAAGTGTAGGTGTTTCAGAACTCATGTCTCCAGTTCGCCTTTAAATTGTATTTTAATGCCCCATTTTCATTTTGATCTGATTTTTGTAAAGATAGAACAAAACAGTAGGAGTCAGATATTTTCTGGAGCGCTATAAGTAACCGACTATTTTTTCCAGGATTTGCAGTGATGGATAGCGTATATGTTGGAATCAGTGCAATTGGCCGCCTTTTGAATTTGAGGAACACTTGATTTGAAAGTTAATGCTTATTTTCTCAGCTTAGTCCTGTACAAGCCGACTCTCAGCAATGCTCCAACTTGCAATACTGGCGAACTGGTTTGCGAGAATAACCATTTTATATATCATATATAAACGAAAATCATTTCGTTTTTCATAAATCTTATTAACAATGTCTTCTCCCAAACGTCTCAATATAGATTCTGAGAATATAGATTCGATACTGTATGCGGATTAAACGTCTCATATTTTGTTCTTTTTTTTTTTGATAGATTGAAGGTCCGGATGAAAAAGACGGAAAAAGAAAAAAAAAGATCTGAAAGTGTTGAACTGCAATGAACACACTCAACTTATTAATTCAATCTGTTATTCAATTGAATCTCCTCATTCAGAAGCAATCAATACTAATTGAAAAAAATCGACATTATTTCTGATTTGAATTATATGACCTGTCGCCAGCTGGCATATTTTTGATAAAAAAACGAAGAAAAAAAAAAAAGCTATTTTTTGATGATAACAGTGTCAAGATGGTCGAAGAGAAAACAGTTTCGAAAACTGAAAGACCGTGCGAACCGCGAAGGATTTTACGAGAAAGAAGGATGCAAAGATCAATGATAGATATTTACTATGAATTGATCTCTGTGCTCGGATACACGGTCTGGTCAGAAATTGTTTACACGAGTTTATATGGCTAGTGGTTTTGATTTCCATCAGAAATCGTTGAAAGCAAACGACTAAAACTTGACATTTCTTTCTGGTTTCTTCAATTGAATCTCCTCGTCGATTACGGCTGCGAGCAAACTAGTAACGTTTCGACTTTTCAGTATCTGTCTATATTTCTGACAAAAGGTCGATTTACATTATTCGAACTATTATCCTATTTGTCGCCATTTTATTACAACGCTTCGGCCTTTCATTATCTGTCTATATTTCTGAGATGAGGTACACTATTTACATTATTCGAACTATTGTCTTCATCTTTGTCGCCATATTTATTACAACGCTTCGGCCTTTCAGTATCTGTCTATATTTCTGAGATGATGTATTATGTACACCTATTTACATTATTCGGACTATTGTCTTCATCTTTGTTGCCATATTTATTACAACGGGCCTTTTATCTGATTTCTGAGAAACGAAGTCGCCAAAAAACGTTTCGCCGTTGTATGCTCCGGCATTCTTCAGGTGGTTGGAATATCAAACTGAACACTTTATTTCGCTATGTTCTAGTTCCACATGCGTTTAATGGATTTCTGTTATCAGTTATCTCCTGTTAATTCCCCTCTCCAAGTTCTCCACTGACAGGGTGTCCTCAATGACATATGCAGATGGTATAAAGGCGTTAGATTCAGTGACAGGACCTAAAAGAGTGTGAGTTCAATCCCCGGTTATGGTTGCGTATTATGGATGAAGGCGTATTATACAGTTTATTATATACCCAAATATACTATAATCCAGTATACCAAAGGTTATTTCGACTATGACTCCACAATATGATTTATATTAGTATTATTATTATATATTTTATATCATTATTCCGTCCTGGGTAAGACGATAAACTACATCCAACAGCAAGCAGGTTTTGAGGAGCGTGGAACGGAGATTGCAAAGTGTTCCCATGATAGATGGTAGCACCTTTAAGGTACCAACTATGGGCAAACAGTTATTGATATACTTTGTAATAATAGTAATTATAAAATTATTACCAGCAATAATTTTTGAAGGAAAAATTATTATCAGCGATACTTTAAAAAAAAAATACCAGCAATCAAACCGGTCAGTCTTTGAAAAAAAATTATCAGTTTATTTCTTCAAGATATTCCCAGTTTATTTTTGAAGAAAAACATATTACCAACAATAAGAATTTTGTCGGCATTAAATGGTTTTGCCATAAAAACAAAACAAACCCAACAAACCATTTATTAACGTTATTCATTTGTTCCTCTTGTTTCAGATGTTGAAATGGTGGACACAAGTTTTGAATTTCTGGTAATTTTAAGCTATTATTATAAACCAATTTAAGAAGAGCAGTCTACGAAAAAGCAAGCTCCTTCGAAAACGACTAAATAGAAGAGATAAAGTAAGCCGAAAGAAAAGCCAGAGGTTTCCATAACTTACCATATTGGTGACTGCGGACATCTCTTCAGATCCAACATCGGACTCATTTTCACATCGGTTCGATGAGCTCAATACTTGTGTCGGATGTAATAAATAACGTGCCAGCAAAAAATCTCCATTATTCAACAAAATGTAACAGTTAAAGAATAAGTGTTGCGTTTTTTTTAATTATGTTGATTTTAATGGATCCGGTCAATTGGGAGACGGATACTGCAGAACGAACAAATTGGAGAAGAGCAGTTCACAAAAAAACAACATCCTTTGAAAACACCCGAAGAGACGAAGAGATCCGAACGTTTCGGTGACTTTTTCAGATCCAACATAGGACTCATTTCACAGAGAAGGTAATGTTGATGAGCACCCCTAATACTTGGCAACGAATTCCAACAACGGCGATAAACTGGGTCACAAAGCCGTTGAAATAATTCGCAATGTGGAAGGTAGGTTTTAAACTTGAAGCAGACGACGATCAGATGCAACGCAGAAGAGATCGCATTATTTACATTCGGAATAATGCCCTTATCTTTATTGATATTATCACAACGAATGCGGTTAGAACGTTCGCTTTTCGATCCTGAGAACCGGTTGATCCAAGCCTTGGTGGGTAGACGATCATTCCTCGTTAGCGGGGGTGTCATCGTGGCTGAGTTTGACCGTTCAAACTGCTGATCACGGCAAATGATGCGCTCTTGTCCAGAAACTGTAAGTAATGCCCGCTCAACATAGTTGCAGTATAAACCTCAGATGGAATCTGTGGCTGTTGATTTGATTTGATTTGATTTGATTTGATTGATTCGTTTTCGGCGTTATTTAAAGTCAGAAATTTTTTTAAATTGTAAGAATTTATTTGAATTATAATGGTTTAGTAATAATTAACCCATAGTTGGGGAAGAAGAGCTGGATTCGTACCTTTCCAAAGGGTATATACGCGTAAGAAATTATAACTAACCTAACGGAACTTGGAAGTCGGCACTCTGATTAACAATTCCGAGCCATTATATTATCTACCCGTACGTCCATACTTATTATCTACCCGTACGTCCATACTTACAGCACCTGGTATTCCCAAATGGTGACCTATCTAGGTACTGAATAGGTTCGATTTTGCTTAACTTTGGTGATCGTACGGGAGCTGGTGTTTCAATATGAGGTGACCGTAAGCCCCGTAGTTATGTCTGCAAGAGGGATTACCTAACCGTCCTAGCAAACAGGCATATTCAGAAACAAGTAGACAGCCATTATTATTATTATTATTATTATTATATATGTTTCGGTCGTTATGCCCTCCATTCTTCTTCATGTATATATCGATCTGGGTAAATTTATTTAATTTCGAATTAGGGCTGAAACTCACAATTATTATGTTATCAAATTCCCGAAACGACGCTTTAATCCGGTAAGTTATTGTAGAAGGTTAACTTCTAATATCTCTGAAGAAAGATTGTTAGCTGAAGAAGGTCGGAGGGAACAATGGTTGAAAAATTGTGATAATAAAATAACGATGAGGATATTAGTCGGAAATCAACTAATGTAAATAAAGGTAATCACGACTGTCGGTAATACACTCTGAAGCTTTTAGAACAGGTAGGATTATCTAAACATGTCATAACCATGTCAATAAGCGCATTAACACAAAAAAGCATAATGAAGTATTTATTATAAAGAAAAACCATTTTGATAACCGCCAATGTGTTTAAACTGGCAACCAACTCTCACCCGTACTGATAGCGTTGACATATTTGGGAAGGATATCAGAATAATCCAGAACCTATACTGGCAGCAAACCACCTGCATAGAGATAGGAAATGAGTTCAGTAAATATACAAAAATAGAAAGGGCTGAAGGATGTGTCTTCTCGCCGGACATTCAACCAATACAGTGAGGTGGTTCTGAGAGAGCTAGAAGTCTTACCAGGATTCATTATTAACGGCCACAACCATAACAACATAAGATATGAAGATGACACAGTGTTGATAGTAGACACAGAAGGCAGTGAAGGAAAGCGAGAAAAAAAGACTATCAATTGCAAGAAGACATAATGCATTGTTGTTAGCAAAAGAAACAACCCAACATGCAAATTATAAATTAAAGATATCAGAATCAAACAAGTACAAAAATTTAAATATCTGGGAAAAGTTTTAACAAAAGACGGAAAGTGCGACACTGAAATCCGAAGGCATATTGGAATAGTGAAAGATGCCTTACAAAAGCTAAGTAAAGTATTAAGAAACGGGATAATTTCGTTAGAAACAAAGAACAGAGAGCCTGAATTGTTACGTAATAACAGTTTGCCTATATTCACAAATGAATACTTGAAGAAAGAGAAATCTGGCTCTACAGAAAGATGATGAGAATATCAAGGACCCCACATGAGCAACAACGAAGTTTTAGAGAAAATGGAAACAAAAAAGAAAATTATAATTGGTATCAGAAAGAAACAACTACAGGACATATAATGAGGAAAGAGGGCTTGGAAAATTTGATACTCACATGACAGATATAGGGGTAGAGGAAAACAAAGCATACCCTTCCTAGCGAGCTTGGTTAAACAGGGTTTAGTGTTGTCGTATTTGTCATTACTGTTGTCGTATCTGAGTAGGACCCCACCCAGTCATCACTTTCCAATCTTTCCAAAAATGTCTCCGAGTCCTTGTCGGTGAAAAAATATTCTCCATCCTCAAAGCTTTCTCCAGCAGACAAGATGTGGCGAGTCTCTCAGCACTCTGTCGTTACTTTCATGGAAAGTGCTCGGACGAAGTACATTCCTTGGTTCTGCCATGCCATTTACATTGTAGCAAGTCACCCACATCCCCCCCCCCTATTCCATCAATGAGAAGTAGGTTCCCCTCGAACAGATTCTTCCTGCGAACCTCTGCTCTGGGGAATCCCAAGATGATGTTTCCGCGATCACCACAAACCATTTCAAATCTAGGGTTAACAGTTATCTTCCCCTCCTATGCCGCCGAATCGATCGTGTGCCCACAGCCACTCTACGTTGTCGCCTGAGTCTCCGTCCTCTTTCACCTGTCCTGCTCCGGCGTCGTCTCCGATGGTTCGAACACGCAGCTCAACGCGATGTACTTCTCCCTCCTTCTCTTCCTGGCTGGCGAAAACGTGTCGGTGGGCAGCTGAGGACGTGGGCTAGCACAATCAAGGATGACCTAGCAGTACTATCGGGTCCACAAGTAGTTGGTCGACGATGGAAGTCAAGTATCCGTATAAACAACCCCTTAAAGTAACCCTCTACATTGAGTGGTCCCCTCTTCCTTCTACAGGGTGAACCTTACTGTTAAAAAAAGGAGAGATATCAAAAAGACAAAATTTATTAAGAGCTACATAGGACAGGAAATTGTGGAGGGCCATGATCGCCAACATCCTTTTTGGAACACGGCACATGAAGAAGAATAACACTGTATTTGCAACAATGATATGCAAGAATGAACACATCTCTTGATCTGTGCAGAATTATGAGGATCGGATCAAGGGCATTAACAAAGAGAGCCAGTGTTTCACAATTGAACTATGAGGCCTTTTATTGAACATGTCAAACATTCCATTGGTTATCTCAGTGCACACATCATTTAAAGGAAGAAGAATACACACAAACCAAAAAAAAAAAAAAATCGAGTAAAAGTTGACGAGGAGACAGAAGTAAAAATAAATAGAAAAAAAGAAAGCGAAGAATAAGAAAGCAAAAATAAGAAAAACGATTTTGAATGTAGAAGATGCCAGCGAATCATAAATCCTTGAAAGGAAAGGACGATGTAGGAATTGGGTGACACCAGGAAGTTACATCTTACTTTTGATTTCTTCTTTCTTGTTCCTTTATTGAACATCTATCTATCTATCTATCTATCTATCTATCTATCTATCTATCTATCTATCTATCTATCTCAGTCTGTTCAGATCTATCTATCTATCTATCTATCTATCTATCTATCTATCTATCTATCTATCTATCTATCTGTTCAGATCTAAGTCTGTTCAGCTCTAAGTCTGTTCAGATCTATCTATCTATCTATCTATCTATCTATCTATCTATCTATCTATCTATCTATCTCAGATCCATCTATCTATCTATCTATCTATCTATCTATCAGATCTAAGTCTGTTCAGATCTAAGTCTGTTCAGCTCTATCTATCTTCAGATCTATCTATCTATCTATCTATCTATCTATCTATCTATCTATCTATTTCAGTCTGTTCAGATCTATCTATCTATCTATCTATCTATCTATCTATCTATCTATCTATCTCAGTATGTTCAGATCTATCTATCTATCTATCTATCTATCTATCTATCTATCTATGTTCAGATCTATCTATCTATCTATCTATCTATCTATCTATCTCAGTATGTTCAGATCTATCTATCTATCTATCTGTTCAGATCTAAGTCTGTTCAGCTCTAAGTCTGTTCAGATCTATCTATCTATCTATCTATCTATCTATCTATCTATCTATCTATCTATTTCAGTCTGTTCAGATCTATCTATCTATCTATCTATCTATCTATCTATCTATCTATCTATCTATCTATCTATCTATCTATCTATTTCAGTCTGTTCAGATCTATCTATCTATCTATCTATCTATCTATCTATCTATCTATCTATCTCAGTATGTTCAGATCTATCTATCTATCTATCTATCTATCTATCTATCTATCTATCTATCTATCTCGTTAGCTAGCTAAGCTTTTTTTCTTTTGATTTTTGTAAAGCTTAAATTAGTACAGTGCAGGTGGTGGTGGGGGTAGTGATTGCATGAAGAATGTTTTCAAAGTGGGGGTGTTAATCATCATTTATAAAGCTCCTTTCACTTTAAAAATCCTGTTCAGAAACTGAATACGAAAATAAAATTTTCTAAACGACATTTTAGAGGTACAGGCACTATTATTGGTCATACAGTTCATTCGAGTTGCAGTTCATTTACTGGACGCGTGATTTTCACTCTCCACCTATTTTTTTTTTAACTACGCCCTTCACCTGAGCTTATATTTCGATCTAAACCAATCGTCAACGCTCCATTGCTTATCTGTATTGTTAACACCCTTCTACCAATACTCACGACCTTTTTTCTTTTCTTCTACTCCTTATACATCTTTACTTGTCCAAGCTTTGCTTAATCTCCATACAACAAATCAGTAGACGTTTTTTCCGCCATCATTTTCTTTGAAGACCAGAAACCCTGAACCTTGTAAACTTCGGATCTTGCAGTTTAGAAGGGAACGTTTGGTTGAGTAATAAAAAAAATTAAATAATTCAATAAATTTTTATAAATAAAGAATAAACAGTTATTGAAAAATACACAAACTTATTATCTAGGAAGATTTAGATCGAGGAGGTGCTAAAAATCTTCTCGGCTCCATTTACTTTCTAAAATCTGACATTTTGTCAGATTTTAGAAAGTAAACAATCAGACCAAAAATCAGAATTTGTCTATAAGGGGGCTTATATAGATACACACACACACACACACACACACACACACACACACACACACACACACATATATATATATATATATATATATATATGTATTATTGTTTATTATAAACAGAGCATTTACTTAAATATTTGTGTTTATATAAATAATGCATAACAATAAAATATATAAAAATAATTGTCGGACTTAATCCATTTCATAACACACACACACACACACACACACACACACACACACACACACACACACACACATATATATATATATATATATATATATATATATATATATATAAAATTATGTATTTGAGCAGCAATCCCTTCTTTTATACAAGTTTCATTAAATGTTACTGCAGTTAAGCCTTTTATTTAATTTTTCTTGTCTTCTCATAATTTTCTTCTTTTCAGGACGTAAATTATGTATAAATTGTTCGAGAGATTTTGGTTATAGATGTAGATATTATCAACGACGACAGTGTTTGAAAAATAAAACATTTTTATCACTCTAGATGCATACATAAAATAATCTATATATACAGTTAAAAGTACAAATAAAATCATCCTATATATATATGTATATATATAAAAGGATTAATGGATTTTATTTTTTTTAATCCTATTTTATTTTTTATTAATTTAAACATTATTTTTGTGGATACCCGTATTTGAATAGATGCTCCGTTTATTTTAAACAGTATTTTATTTTATGTA